GCTGAATGATACAAATACTGCTTGGAAAATAATGTAGTATGAGTGACTTGCTTAATGTCAAGACTGATAAGCTGCCAAATCTTGTCACTCTTTGCTTGATATGCAGTTTTCTTACAGATTAGCCCAGAAACAAGCATATGGTATTCTGTAGGATTTGTGGGTTTTTTTAAAGTAAATGGAAGTTATCAGAGATTTCAGCTAGAAATTATTTATTCTTATCTTTTATTTTGCCAGAGCTTTGACCTTGATATGTTACATTTTACTTGTATGAAATATTTTTTTATCATTTTCATTATTATGTTAAATTGAAAGTTGTGAATATACTCCTTAATTGACTCCACTGTAAACTTGGCCAAGATCATGATTTGGGTGGCATATAAAAAAGAAGAGGGAATTCTTGTCACCTTTTTTTAAAAAAAAAAAAAATTTGATTGGTCATGCTATTACAGTTGTCCAAATTTTTTTGCCCTTTGTCCCCCTCTACCCAGTACCTCCTTCCCTCCAGCAACCCCCTCCCTTTGTTCATGTCCATGGATCATGCATATAACTTCATTAGCGCCCCATTTCCTATACTGTTCTTAACCTCCCCCTGTCTGTTTTGTGCCTACCAATTATGCTTCTTAATCCCTATTCTCCTATTTCCCCTGTTCTCCCCCACCCCCTTCCCCCACTGATAACTCTCCATGTGATCTCCATTTCTGTGATTCTGTTCCTGTTCTGGTTGTTTGCTTAGTGTGTTGTTTGTTTGTTTGTTTGTTTAGATTCAGTTGTTGATAGTTTTGAATTTGTTGCCTTTTTAATGTTCAGAGTTGATCTCCTTTTTCCTAAATAAGCCTCTTACACATTTCATATAATAATGGCTTGGTGATGATGAGCTCCTTTAGCTTAATGTTGTTTGGGGAACACTTTATCAGCCCTTCCATTCTAAATGATAGCTTTGCTGGATAGAGTGATCTAGATTGTAGGGCCACGCTTTTCATCACTTTGGATACTATCTTGCCAGTCCCTTCTAGCCTGCAAAGTTTCTTTTGAGAAATCAGCTGCCAGTCTTATGGGAACACTTTTGTAGATGACTCTCTGCTTTTCTCTTGTTGCTTTTCAGATTTTCTCTGTATAACCTTCAACATTTTAATTATGATGTGTCTTGGTGTGTTCCTCTTTAGGTCTGACTAGTTTGGGACTCTGTGCTTCCTGGACTTGTATGTCTCTTTCCTTAACCAAATTAGGGAAGTTTTCTTCGATTATTTTTTCATATAAGTTTTCAGTTTCTTGCTCTTCCTCTTCTTCTTCTGGCACCCCTATGATTCGGATGTCAGTGCGTTTAAAGTTGTCTCAGACATTCCTAAGCCTATCCTAGATTTTTTTAGTTCTTCTTTCTTCCTGCTGTTCTGATTGAGTGCTTTTCTCTTCCTTGTGTTCCAAATTTTTAATTTGATTCTCGGCTTCATCATTTCCTCTGTTGGTTCCTTATAGATTTTTCTTTGTTTTACTTAGTGTAACCTTCATTTCTTCCCTTATGTTTTTGCTATACTCTATGAGATCTTTGAGCATCCTGATCACCACCGTTTTGAACTCTGCATCTGACAGGTTGCTTATCTTCATTTCATAGTTCTTTTTCTGGGGTTTTGTTCTGTTCTTGCATTTGGGCCATATTTCTTTGTCTCCTTAATTTGGCGGCCTCTCTGTGTTTGTTTCTGTGTATTAGGTAGAGCAGCTTCGACTCACTGTCTTAGAAAAGGCAGCTGTAAATTGTGTGGGGCAGAGCCTTAGGTACTCGCTAGGATACGGCAACCCACTTCACTGCTTTGTGGCTCTGTTGTGGGGGAGGGTTAGGAGAGGGGGCAATTCTGCTGCCTGGCTGCTGGAAGCCTGCCTCCACTTGCCCCATTTCCAGTCACTTCACCCACTTCCCATGTTTGGTGCCCTTCAAGCTGTTGCCCTGCTGGTGAATCCCAGAGTGAGTGGGTTTGCATATGTTCTAAGTCTGCATGGGCCCTTTAAACAGATTCCCCTGAAAATCCAGCAGCTTCTTCCACTGCCGCAACCCCCACTGGTTTTCAAAGCCTGAAGTTATGGGGATCCATTTTCCCAATGCTGGAACCCTGGGCTGTGCAGTCTGGCCCAGGGCTGGGATCACTTGCTCCTAGGGTATCCCTCCCAATTTTTATCCACCACATGTGGATGTGGGATGCCCATTCCACTGCCACCTCTCTGAGCCATACCACGTCTCTGCTACTCCACCCTGCCTACCCATCTGGATGAATGTGGCTTCTTTAAATCTTTGGTTGTTGGACTTCATACAGCTTGATTTTCTGACCGTTCTGGTTGTTAATTTGTTTTGAGATACAGTTATATTTCTCTGTGTGGTTACCCGAGGAGGTGATGTGTGTCTACCTATACCTCCATCTTGACCAGGAGTCCTCTTGTTGCTATTTTAAGATTTAAAAATTCAACGTGTTTTCACCCCTGGAAGGAAAATAAACAATCAGGCACCATCTGTGGGTCCTGAGCGCTTATTCCTTCACCTTCTTTAATTAAAACACTGCTGGCTGGTTGGCTGAACAGGGGTGTGTTATGAAATTGGTTAACTCATTTGGTCTGAAATGTTCTTTAAAGAATTAATGAATGATTTTCAATGTTCTTTCTGGGTCTGGGTCACTACAGGCTGTGGGATGAGTGAAAGAATGATGGTTTAACAAGCATGTATTGAGTTTGTATTATATGCTAGCAAATCACTTGTTGGAATAGGTTGTTAACTCACATGGGTTATGTAGCTTTGACAATGTGAAGGAGTTTAGTTAGATCTACTTCTTATTGTGTAGCCTTAGAGACAAATGTTACTTACTTCCTTGTTTTACTTTCTTCACTCATTGAGCTAATATACCTACCTTTTAGAGTGAGATTTAATGTGGTTATTGAACTTGATTCTTGCTGTGTATTCTTCTAAGCCTTGATTGGTGTGATTTAATGTTCTCTTCAAGTTTGGCACTCACCCCGCAGAGGGTTACTCTGCCACTTCTATTTATGGCAAGACAGGAAGGGATTTCTTCTAATTTCTGACTACCAGGTTATTGTGGTTTAGGAAAAAGAATTGCTAAACTTTTTTGGAGACTCCAAGTGCTTTGATGCTTTGGAAATAACTAGATTTTTACTTAGACAGCTGGGTTCAGTTCATCACATGCCAAGTTCTTAGTCAGTCATCATCCTTGACAAATACAAAGTCCAATAGGGACTTGATTGCATGTAGAGAGAAATTATGATATAATGTAATGAAAATATGCAGTGCAAGATATGCACAAGGCATAGACATAGTTTAGATGGTTATTTTTGTTCAAGGAGAGGCAAGAGAGTTGGGTTTTATGTAGGAAATGAAGACCTGGGATGGTTCAGATGGCTTTTTTAAAAAAAATTAGGTTTTTATTGTTGGAAGACATTCCAGGCAGAGAGAATGTTACTGAGGAGGCAGGTAAGTTGGTATTGTTGGAATATAAATTGTGATGGGAATTATGGTGGGAGATAAAAGTAGAAAGGGATGTAGGGCTTGTATCTTGAAGGGTCTGGCATGCTGCACTTTGGAGCTTGGAGTTTTTTCTGATACATAGTAGTAATCAGAAAAGCAATTTCTGATTATGCTTAAAGCAATCGAAAAGATCCAAGCCAGGAGACTGAAAGGATGGAATTTAGTTAGGTCCCTCTGGTAACAATCTGGAGTTTGGATTAGAGGGGAGTAAACTTAGAAGGAATATTAGTAGGAAGGTTTAAAGAAGTTCAAGAGTGAGTGTTCATTTAGTAAACTTGTTTAACTGAACTGAGATCATGAAATAATGAATGAAGGCATGACGGGGAACGAAGAAAAGAAGAAATAACAGAGGTGACTATACTTGAGAGGACCTCGAGATGAGTAAGAGAGAGAGTGGTCCATGTTTGAGGTTTGGGTTAACTGGTACAGTCACCAGAAAGGAGACTAAAGAACAATTAAGTGGATTTGAAGTGTTGAGACAGTTGAGTTCAGTTTTGAACATGTTGAGCTTTGAGTACTGGTGATGCATCTTGGTGGAGATAGCCAGCAGACATTTGGATATAAAGATATGAAATTCAGAGGAGATTCCAAGGGAAAACTGTAGATTGAGGTATTACCAACATATAAGGGATGATTGATAAAGAGATCATAGGGAGTGTGAAGAAAGGAAAAGAAAGCCAATGGTGGAACTCTACGGAACATACCAATAGTTGAAGGGTATTCTGAGGAAGTGGATACTGGGAATGAATAGAAAGAGAGGGGGGCTAGAAATAAGGTGTCTGTCCTAGCAATGGAGGGAAGAAATAATTTTATGGAGTAAGTGCGTCAGTATTGTCCAAAGCCTGAAGTCACTAAGAGCAGTTTGGGACACAGGAGCATTTCCATTGAGATGGTAATTTGCAGCCTACCTTTGACACTTGTTCTATAACTTGGAAATCCATTTGCCTTTGGCTTTTTGTCTGTAAAGAGGTGTTTGGCTTCTTACACAGTTTCAGCCTGTGATCTGTGGAGTTCCCACAGGTTCAGAAAAGGTTCTCTGAGGTCGGTCAAGAAGATCAAGGTCAGATATTTCTAGGGGGGAGGGAATACAGGTACTCTACTTCTGATTCAAACAAAGCAGCGAAGGCAGGTTGATTTTTTAAATGTATCTTAGATATTTAACTTTAGTGTAAGATTTCATTTGAAAGAACATAGTGTAGTATAAGAAATTTGAAAACTACTTGCCTACAAAAGTCTTAAGATACACTCAAGCATTAAAAACTATATAATTAATGGCTGGTATTCAAAATTTCTCTACTAGATGAAAATCATAGTAGATGCCAACTTGCTCATGATTTGGATTTTATTCAGAGGTCAACATTAGTATCTGAGTTTATGTGATAATTACTATTCTTATTCTCATTAGGAATAAAAACTGAACTTTTAAACAACTCCATTCTGTTTTATACTTTGTTAACAAACATTTTATGTGTCTTACCAGATTCTGACTCAGAAGATCTTTTGGAAGAATTAGTCTGCTGTTTGATGCAGTTAATCACTGATATTCCGCTCCTGTAAGTTCTGGCCACGCCAGGGTTTGTTTTGTCTTCTGTGTATGTTGAAGGTGGTAATTGATCATGTTGAGGAGTTTGTGGGTCCTGGTTTAGTACTTTTATGTATGCCTTGTAAGGGTTACTCATTCATGGAGTTCTTTGATCATTCTTGCCTAATAATATTTGAACTTACTGTCCTTCATCAAAACAAGAATTTTGAGTTTGGAGGGAATAATAATAAGCAAACTCTTAACAATACTAAGTATATGATAAGCACAGAATTAGATTAATCTCTGCAATGAGAGATCTTATAGATCTCTGTAAACAAGTGCTTAAGAGAAAAGCAGTTTGAGACTAATTCATATGTGGTAGATGCAGCTAGTCGTTTGCGCATTCTTTGTTCTTCCCTTCTTTTTTACTTCCTGGTTTCAGTTACGGCCATTTTTGGCCGGCCGGATTTTCACTCCCATCTTTTCTTGGAGCTAGATGTGGTCACTGCGATGTCAGGGGAAGTTTTCCAATGAAAGGACGAGTAAAGCTCTTTAAGGGAACCTGCCTCAACGAGGAGGCCTGTCTTTGTGTCCCGGACAGCCCTCTTTCTTGCTGTCCCGGATGTGGACATGGCCCTTTGAGTTACACGGCCACCTTGGCACCGTGAGCCAAGAGACTCACAGAAAATTCTGTGATGCCACTGAGCTGCTGGACCGAATCATCCACTTCTGGTCCCCTCCCCCTTCCTCACCCCCATCGTCCATGGACTTCTCGCGTGAGAAAAATAGACCCTTGTTTACTGTACTGGATTTCTGTCACGGCAACTGAATGCAATTGCAGCATGATTCAAAATGTTTGTTTTTTTAAAGCAGTTACTCTCCACCTTTCTTTGGATAGTCTCTCCAAGGAGCCCTTTTAGACATGTTTGTTTTTTTTTTTTTAATTGCCTCTCTTCCTTGTGGGCCACAAATCATTGTAATACCTGTGACGTTTTTCACCTCAAAGAACTAAGTTTTATGCTCTGGGTAGGGACGGGGAGATGATAACATCCTTGCTGAGAATGCACATTTCACATAAATTATTTTTAAAATAAAAAAAGTAGATTTTAAGGCTTACCATCATAGAATCTGTCTTCATGGGAATGTCGTTGGAAATGCGCTCTTTGCTGATAGTCCAAAGAGGAAAGACAGTGTTTGTGAAAAAGTGGGCTCCTGGCCTCTGTTGTGCACAAGTGCAGCCTCTAGACTTGTAATGCAGCTTTAGGAATGAGAGCCACCGAGCCCAGCTGTGACCTGGCCTGGCGGTGTGCAGTTTGGAAGGCAGGGCTGAGGTCCCCGGAGGATCAGTCCCCTGACCGGGAGGGTAATGGGGGAAGCGTCCTATGCACGCTGAACTCCTGTGACAGGCATAGTGTTTAGCATGCCTGATAATCCTCCTTTCACCTTCCTTTCTAACACATCTCCATTATTGTTTGGGGGGCCAGAGTGTGCCCAGCCTAGTTTTTAGGCACCTTGGGAACTGAAAGTGTCTTAAATGTGGCCCCGTGACAGTTTGGGCCAATTACATGTAAGCAGAAGTCGTGAGCTTGTAGAGCATGTACCTTCAGCTTTTCGCTCTTCGTCCTTCTCCTCTTCCTCCCTGGGATGTGGAGGCAGCACTTAGGCCGTCTTAAAAATATGATGACGACCGCCATGTGCAAATAATAGTGTCCCAGGAGCATGGGATATTGATGATGTTATGGAACATAACACAAACCCTAGATCACTTATCTTTGGATTTCTTCTTACATGAAAAAAATAAACCCTTATTTTGCTTAAGCCTCTGTGGTTAGGCCTCTGTTACACAAATGTGGAAGGGGGAACACTTGTTATGAGCTATTTACTTGTCATAGTATGGGATGCTTCATGTGATCCGGATTTAATTTTTAAATTAGCACCACCTCTATTACATTATGTTCTTACAAATACCAGCAGTATCTTCTAAATGAGTACATTTTTTTCCTTTGTTGATAAAATATCTTGAAGTTAAGGGGAATGGAAATAGTAAATCCCTTTAGCTAGTAAATAAGCCATGAGTACAATGACTAGACCAGCCACTTAAATACTCTTGGGGAGCAAGCAGACAGTGTTGTTAATATATCAGACATTTCAGTGTTTTAATGTGTTTATACTTTTTAAATGAACTGAAAATGCACAGACAACCAGATGTCTTGTGTTATGTACACTCAGCTTTAACCAGCTGCTGAAACAATTTCTTATGATTTAATATTCTTGGAACTCCATCCTCCAAGAAGGTTTGTCTTGGTAACTGTTTCCATGTGAAACCAAACTACTCTTTCAATGTTTCATGTACCGTAACTGTAGTGCAGCATTACGGATGAGCTTATAACTTAAGGAGGAATGTTAACATATGGAAACCGGGATGCTCTCACCTGAGCATCATCAGTCTTGCTATAAACTTTCATGTTAACATGGGCGCACCAGTGCGGCATTAGTATGCGAACAGCAACAGGAATCTCATGCTAATGGCCGCCGAGGGTAATTCCAAGCTAACTTACACATTTCTTATGAGACTGTGAAATCATTCTGTTAACATTGAAAGCAAGTCATTACCAAGAACATAGATAGATATTTAGATACCTAAGTTTAAATGATACTTCATTATTAAGAGAACAAGATCACTGCAGTAGTTTTGATAAACTCCCAGAATTTGAAGGAATTATTTGTGATGAAAATTTATTTTTAAGTAGTTAGTTGACATGGCTTTTCATTTTAGATTTCTTAATAAAATATTCTCTGAGGTGTTAATCTTCAAAGTCAGATTAAAATCACACATCTTACAGGACTCCTCCCTTAAGTCCTCTCAGCATTTATATATTTAAAGATTAAGTCATGTAGAGGCTCACGATTTGACATTTTTCAGTGTATGCTAGGTTGATCCCACTAGAATTGAAATGTCTTCCCAAAGTAAAGCCTTGTCTTTGATTATTATACCTGCTCGTTAATCTCAAGGAAGTGAGTGGGAAAGGGAAAAGGTAAGATAGGTATTTTTCTCAAGACACTAATAGAGACTATAATAGAAAAAACACTGTTGGCAGGACAGTTGAAAACAGAACACTTGGAATTTATAACAGTGTGTCAGTTTTAGTGTTACTGTAATGGTTGAGGTGAAACCCAGGGGTGGCATGTAGGTGGGGTCCTGGCCTCAGAAGCAGTTAGACTGTATGGGCCCCACACTTGTTTTCCGGAGGTGTCCAACCTTGTGGCCTCTCTGGGCTCCTCTGGAAGAAGAAGAGTTGTCTCGGGCCACGCATTAAATACGCAGACACTAATGAAAACTGATGAGCAAAAAAAAAAAAAAAAAGATTTTAAGTAAATTTATGATTTTCTGTGGGGCTGCATTCATAGCCACCTTGGGCCACATGCAGCCCGTGGGCCGAAGGTTGGACACCCCTGGATTTAAGAGACTGCTTGTAATACTTTCTAATTATGAAGTAGAAGTTATTTTGAGGACTTGAACTGAAGTCCTTTTCCTTTTATGTCTTTTTATCTGTTTTTGTTGGTGTAGTCGTTTCAAAGCTGTCATTGTTAGCTGTATGTGGTGGCTCCATTGTCAAGAACGGGCCCTACTCCTTTTCTCGAGTGCCACTGCTCTGGGCAGGTCCGTGGGAGGCGTGCTCAGAGTGGGCCTTTCTGTTGGCCCCGGGCCAGACATGCAGCCTCTTCCGTTGGGGTCCCTCTGTGTGTTCTCTGTTGTCAGCCTGTGAACTCTGAGCGTTGGGGCTGCCTAATTTTCAGCCTGGCCTTGATTTGCGGATTTTTTTTTTTTATTATAATTTAACCTAAAAACTGTACCTAGTTTTTAAAATAAGTGCTAGTAAAGGTGAGGTATTCATAATAGGTTGCCTTCATTGCCTTCTGTGGTGAGTGGACAGGTGTCTGTTTTTTGTGGTGGGACTTTGTCTACCTCTCCAGTGCACAGTGTCTGTTACCCCTGCCTGCCTGCACCTTCTATTTCAGCCCTGCCGGTGTCCTTGCTAATTTGGAACCTGCCAGTCCACTCCTGTCTCTGAGGCCTTTGCCCTTTTTCCTTCTTTTCCCTTGGATATCTCCCCTCAGATACCTGCGTGGCTCTTGTTCTTCTTTCCATCTTCTTTCTGCTCAAAGGTCTGTACCTTCGGAACAGCTGCTCTGCCTACCCACAAACAGCGCCTCCCTCAGTCTCTATCCTTTTATCACGCTTTCATTTTTGTTGGAATATTCATCACTACTTTTCATGTTGTTTATTTGTATTTCTCAAAATTAGAATGTGAACTCCATGAAAACACAGATTCTTCTGTGCCAGCATTTGTTTTGCTCATTGCTGTATCACTAGTGCTCAGATTAGCCTGTCTCTCAAAAAAATTGTTGAATCAGTAAATCGTAGGAGCACAATCTATTCAGTGTGCTTAAAGCATTTTGTTTGTTTCCGGGCATCTTGTCAGTATGGAAACAACATTGTGCTAAGGCGCGTTCCATTGCAAGTGTACTGGCTCAAATCCCATTGGAGTTGGTACATTATATTATAAAAATTCAATGCCTTACAGACATTAGTCGTAGAAAGGGGTTCCTGGAAGCTGGAACACTTGAGAAATAACATCTAATGATGTTTATAGTGAAATGGTAGATTAATTAGTTGTAAATGCTGATTAGTGTGGGGTCATTTAGTTAGAGACAGTCAGCTTATATCAGTAGTCCCCAGATTTTCCTTTCATGGTATAATTATTTCTTTTTCATTGAGTTCATTCTCAGAAAACATATTGTGAATATACTAAATGTCTGTACTGTACTTGGCCCTGAGCAAAGAAAAGCGTGACCTTTGAAGAGCTTAGGGATGGATAGATGCCTGGCCCAGTAAGAGGAACCATTGATGAATGCCACCGTCATTTTCAGTTCTAGTGATTAGCAGTGGTGAGGTCATTAAAGGGCAAAGAGGAGCTGGAGAGGGCCCACTTGGGTGTGACTAATGAGAATATAGTGCATTACCTTGGT